CGAGATGTGTAGGATCATTGGAGAGCAGCGTCGTTGGTAGACGTTGCGTAAAACCGAAAAAACGGAGCTGTCCTTTCCACTATTTCAAATCACGTTCCTTTCGGCCGCCCTGCCATGGTGAACGGGCGCGGGCAGGGAAAAGGCACGCGCCGCTGTTGCGTATGCGATCGGCAAACATCCCCTGGAACTCCGTTCCAGGATCAACTACGACAACCTCTGGCTCGTGCCCACCCACGTACAAATGCCTGCCATGCAACTTCTGCTGACTTCCCTGACCCCACATATCCAGCTAACGAAAAAGAGATGCCCCAACGCATGATGTTGATCGAAAAATGTGGTGCATCATCGACTGGGCACTTGACATCGACCGAATCAATGTCAACAGCATGGTTGAAGCGATGAGACTTAGGAACAGCAGCAGGACGGCGAAGATAAGGTCGTATGTGCGCATCGCACTCATCGCTTTTGAAATTTGTTCTGCATCCAGCGTGCTACCTCAGGCCCTGCATATCGCCGTCCAAGGTGTCGAGCGAGGTCTCGATTCCCAGGGTGGTCAGAGTTGTCATGGGCAAGTTCAAGGTCGGCCAGCTGGTCGGCAGTAGGTGTCCAGTCTGGCTGGGCAGGTACTTCATCATCGCTATCCAGTTCGGCGCCGGGGTCGCCTGCAGGAATTTGTTCGGGCCCATCTTCTCGAGGAACTGCTTCCAGAGGAAGACTGGCACTGTTCACTGATAGTGCCTGCTTAATCTGCCTACGTGACTTGTTCATAAGGAACCGTTCCAATGCCGTCCTTATCGAGCTCCGAGGATGAAGTGTAAGCTCCATTGGTGGTCTGCCACAAAATCAATCGCCATTCTCCTCTGCTCGCCTCGGCGGCTTCGACCGAATCCTGCGGGGCGGCGGACTGCCAGGACACGCCCGGAACACCTCGGAGCACGGCCATGCGTTTACCAAATGCTGGACCAGCCAAGCTTACATCTGTAGCATCTAAAGAAATTAATTGCCCAACCTGAAAGAGACACGCACTCGGAGGACGGACGCTCGCAAGCAACTGACCAGCGAACGCCACGTTGGCTGCAGCCATGCGATAGGAAAGGTCACGGCCAAATCCATGTCTTGTTCAGAACGGACAGAAGACGGTCCAGACCACGCATCCTGAATAAACTCGGTAGTGTAATCTGGATAGACAACCTCGGCCACCCGCCCGTCGGTGAAATCATCTGCTCACGAGGAGGGGGCGGAATCGGTCGGATTGATAAAGGCGTCGCGGGGTCCCTGATGCAATCGGACATGTGCCCCGCGACCATTGAAAGCATCTTCTGCCCGCGAATCCATCAGACGTCGCGCTCCTCCGCGACCGTCTCGAAGCCGCCCCCGCCCGCGATCTCCCCGCGCATCTCGCGCTCGGCCGCGCACGCGGCGAAGCGTCGGAGTTGTTGATGCGAAGCTGGGTCGCCCGACTCGCGAGTCCTCTCGGGAGAGTGGTCGCGGGTCGCGAGGGCGGTGCGCGGGCGACGCCGCCCCCTGATCCAGGCCCCCGGCGCCCCCGGGCAGGTTCTTGCAGGCGCTGGCCCCGACGCGGGCCTCCGCGCGGCGCCCCGTAGCCACGCGGCCCAGAATCGAGAGCAACTTCAAACAAAACTGCATCAATGTTCACCTCCATGCGATGACGCCACCTGGTCAATCAGGAACCATGACAGACTGTCTGCGCATCTCCACTGGGAGGAGTAAGGGCACACCACGGGCAATCAAATGCACCGCAGGAGTACCACAGTTCTTTGCCACGGCAGTAGGCAATGTCCAGCTGGAGAGAAGCGCGGTAGATCCTCCGACGCCCATGGCATCCATTTCCAGGGCACGTATCTGCATGGGCTTCAGGCCGTAGATACCCCCAATATATTTCACCAGCTTCTCGAATGCATATTTGCTGCATACTCCATGCTGAGCTCCAGTATCCACCAGATCCGAACCCATCTGAACCTCCAATGAAAACCTGACCTCCAGTGTCAGTATTGGCCAAGAAAGGAAAGGCGAAGGAACTGACTCCAGACCGGATCGCAGGCCCCCGTTGGCAGACGCCACGCAAAGCATCATCTACTTCGAGGGGAACTGATTGGAAGCCGCCGAAGCCCGCCTGTCGCTCGCGCCCTCGCTCGACGGGCTCGCACGCACAGTCTCGAGCCACCTGCCCCATTTTCCCACATCGGGCGCACTCCGAGCGGCTCATCCACGCACGCTGGGCCCACCGCTCCGGTCGGGCACGCCCCGAGAGCCCCCCATCGCTCTTTAGGGGGCCTTCGGGCCTTCTCTTTGGGGGCTGTCGTTTGAAAAAAGCATCGCCCAAGCTTCCGTTCGTGTAAGTACTGGCGTACCTGACTGTAGTTCGCATAGATGGCCATGGTTCCATCTTCGCCCAGAACCACATCGTCGGGCACGGCTCCAGCCACGAAGAGTGAGTCGCCATAGTCCACGTACTTGATGGCCTTATTTGCGTTCTCCTCTTCCCCATGCGCCCCGGGCAAAATAAACAAGTACTGTTGCATGAATCCAATGGACCGCGTCGTGATCCGACCCCTGGCCCTCGCATCCGTCATCATCTGATTGGCATATGACCAATTGCGAGGAGGAACCCATGCCATGGATGCGATGGCCGTCTCTGCCAGAAGGTAGCGGTCGTTCGAGCTTCCGAAGCTTTTCGCACACCAAGTCAAAATCACACGATCCCTATGTCCAGTGCCCAGCCGTATCCCAAGCAGCGTCAGTAAGCTTGGATTCTCTCAGGAGCATGCACCCTTTCAAATCCTCCGGCAGGATCACGCGCTGCTCGAGTTCTCGGAATCGCACGCGCTAGCGCGCGATATAATACACCAGGGATACTCGCGCTTATGCTTGGCCTTCCGAATAGAAATGCTTTTCAAGGGCCTTTGGCATCCTGCGGTCTTAGTACTCGACAAGGGCCTTCTGGATGCGTTGCATCGCAACCGGCCCACCGTCCTCGGCACACAGCTGGTCCTGAGCAAATTCCTTAATGATGATATTGAAGTCGTTTTTGGCATAACAGTGATGGGGTACCCATGTTGTGCTTTCGAAATTCTGGTAATAAGGAGCCACATCTGCAGCTCCGTGATGTAGGGCTCTGAGTAAATACCCGGATCTTTGCCATCCCAAATGGTAGGTAGGTCGTTTGGTATACTTTTGGGACCTCCGCTTGTTCAGGAAATTGTCCCCGACGGCGATCAGAAGATCTGGCAATGGTATATCCCCAACAAGTCGGAGCAAAAGGAGTAAAAGGTATCGCCTGTCCTCGCAGAGGCGTGTTCCGCCGATCTGGCGCAGCCGGCGAACCACGTCCCCTCCCAGTCCAACGTAGGGAGGATTGTTGCGTATTGGGCTATGCCTCCGCCCAGGGGTGCGACAACCAGCGGGCCCAATCCTGATCTGACCAGCCCACATTGTCATCAATATCCCAAGGAACGCCTTCTTGTCTTCCAGCTCCTCCCCAAGGGTCCTGATCTGGCTGTAAACAAGGATCTGCTGGAAATTCACACTCTTGAAACTGAGCGTCGTCTGGAGAATCCATGGCGGCGCTCGGTGCACTGGGGTGGAGAGCGGTAAAAGCGGGAGAATAGTATGGAGTATGTCACCCGCGAATCGAATGACAGGAGGGTAATCCTGACTCCCCTCGTGGATCTCCATCACAGGCTCCGCTGCCACTGTGGACTGTACGGGTGTGACTGTATGGGTACACAGGGACTCGAGGTACACATAGCGGGACCCGTGCTAGAAGAGAGCACGTTCTCTTTCCTTTTACGGAGGCGTGGGCGCGTCCGTTACCGGCGCGACATGATAGCTCAAGGGCCCTTGTGAGCCGATATGGCGGCGCACAAGGGAGTTCAGAGAGAAGCACAGGAGGAGGAGAATAAGCTCATAAGGGCACAGCAACCACAGCTATCCTGAACGACCTGAGCAACGCGATCCTGAATGAGGACAACGTTGCAGAGGGAACAACAGTTTGAAGCACCAATAACTGTCCGATTGAATAAAAAAACAGATGACATAGTATTGTTGGACATATGGTGGTGCGTTAGACATTATATGTAAAACAACATAACCCAAAAACAAAAACAAACAAAAAAAAAACTTGCGGGAGAAAGGCTGTGCAGCGCGGGCTGGACTTGGGGAGGGAGTAGACTTTACTCTGATTGAGTGATCATGGAGGCGCGGGAGGTGGATAATTTTAGGAAATGAGCATGAGCATAATGGTGATAGGGGGGTGCAGGGACGGGAGGAAAAACATAAGTAGCAGGAGAAGGAGGGAGGAAGGAGAGGGGGGAGAGGGAGAGGAGGGGGAAGAGGACGACGAGGGATCAATGATGGTGGTGGTGATGATGATGGTGGTGATGAAGAGGACGAGGAGGTAGGAAGGGGTATATACGGTCGAGCACGAAGAGGGAAGTGGAGGAGCTGGAAGGGGAAGGACAGTCTGTTCCTCATGAGGGGCGTCCGAAGACAGAAGTTTATCCTCGCCCTCGTTACCATGTCATCTCAAATAAGGTTGTGGTTATGGTGAAGTCCGCGATTGGTAGGCGGAGACCTTGGACGCGACGACGACGGCGAAGACGCAGATAACGATGCTAGCGAGAATGACGACAACTACCACAACGACGACGACCACAATACCGACGTGGACGACGGTGACGACGATGACAACGATGACGATGACGATGGCGACGACGACGACGACGACCATAACGACGATGACGGCGACGACGATGACGACGACGGCGGCGACGCCGGCGGCGACGACGACAACGACGACGGCGGCGGCGGCGGCTGCGACGACGACGACGACGACGACGACAAGGACGAGGACGAGGACGACGACGACGACGACGACGAGAACGAGGACGAAGACGAAGACGAGGACGGCGACGACGACGACGACGACGACGACGACGACGACGACGACGGGGTCGTCGCGCGGCCCGCGGTCGTAGGTCCTCGGCCTGCCGCCATCGCCGCTCCCGGAAGGCCTCCTCGGCCCTCAGCAGCAGCTCCTGCCGGGCCGCCCTCCTTCACCTCGTCGGCTGGAGAAGTAGGGTTAAGTCGGGGGGACGACTCAACCCTACCCCTGTAGGAGGACAGGCCCGACTTAAGGGTAGGGGGAGGACGATCACAGGACGACCAACTGCCTGCCTCCCCACGCTGCACAGAGCTCGCAGGACGCGTCTGGCACCGCCTCCGCCTCCGGACCCTTGGGGGGGGGAAGGGGGGGCATCCGACCACGTGGCCTCTGCCCTTGGACGGGACCTCCCAGCACAGGGAGGGGAGAAGGCTCGCCACTGCCTGCTGCCCGCGCGCGGGCGGCCGCCACCCTAAGCAAGAGTGGGCACACCGCCATTCGCGACACCTGCTGAGCTTCGCCCCCTGGGCCCGGGACCTCCGGGGACCTCCAGGAACCTCCAGGGACCTCCAGGTCAGGATCCGGGGCGGGGGCAAAACGTACCAGCGACACAAAGAGATGTGGCACTCGTGCAATCGCATCCCAACGGACAGGATTAACTCACCGTCTTTGCTCCAATCTCTTCCACAGCTGCAAATAGAAAGCGGTCCTGCACGAGACCACGCTGCCGCGCGGAGCTCGCTTGTGGCCGAGGCAATCCTTCGGCTGTCCGCGTTTCATCCGCACATGGACGTCCTCAGTCCGAGGCCTCGTCAAGACGACTGACGGGGTCAAACTCTTCGGGGACACCTAACAAAGCCACAGGTCGTCCGTCGAAAACAACAGACCACCGGCAGGAAGGTATGGAGACGCAGAAGCCCCCGTTCTCCTCCACCTCTCCTCCTCCTCCTCCTCCTCCTCCTCCTCCTCCGCCTCCTCCTCCTCCTCCTCCCCCTCCTCCTCCTCCTGTTTCACGCCTCATCGTTGTCCTCGTTTCCCTTTCCTCCTCTCACTCCTGCCTCTCCTCGTTCATGCTGATATAGTAGGTGCCGTCCTCTTCCTCCACCTCATTCTCCCAACACATCTATCTCCGAAGCATCATTCACTTCCTTCCCTCCTCCTCCTCATTCATATGCTCCACATGTTCCTCGTCTTTCTGTTCACCTTTTTATACTGTCTCCTCCCTGTTTCCTAATACTCCTACCTAGCTCTCTTCCTACTTCCCCTCATCCTCCTCCTCATCGTGCTGCTTCCTCCTCCTCCTCCTCCACATCCGCATCCACCACTTATCATCCTCTTTCTAATCCTCCCTTCAAACCGCAAGTATCTTCATCCTTCAACGCCTACTCCTGCTCACCATCATTATCATCCTACGATCCCCTCGCCCCTCCTGCGTACCATCAATGTTCCTCAACCTTCTCACCATCACACGCCCTCGTTCCTCCGACCCCACCCTTCTCATTGTCGTCGATCTCCTCCGCATCATCATGACATATCATATCACGTCATACCGTAACATCTTGAACCGTGCAATGTCACAACATATCATACCATACCATACCATATCACATCATGCCACATCATGTCATGCCATATCATACCATAGCATCGCATGCCAAACCGTACCATAAGATACCATGACCCATCATATCACATCATATCACATCACATCAGATCACATCACATCATGTGACCACATATCATAGAACCATCCACGTCATGATCATTCTCCGACATGCGATCTGACGTTGCGAGACGTAGGCAACGTTGCACGTGGCCAGAGACCTAGAACCCATCTTTCTGCTGCATCTTCCGGGCCGGATCCATCTGTGATGGCCCCGGGGCCCCAGACTGGGCGAGAACGCCTGGCGCGACAAAGTTGCAACGCCCAGATCTCAGGGTACGACCTCTCCACCCAGACCCCCGACTTCGTGACTTTTTCACAACGTCGACCCCCGGCAGTCTGGACCCTTTCCCCGGGACCGGCTTTTCATCCTGAGTCGTTTTCTGACGGTCCCGCGGCCCGGGAAGGGCCCCCGGAGGCCGAAAATAGCGAAAAACCTCCCGTCGTGATTTCTTCACGACGCGAGGGGGTCTGGGCAGATAGGAGGTGCCGAGCGATCGACGTGCCGCGACGCAAGAGCGGCCTGGGCCGGCCATCGCAGCGGCCCCGGCGGGACTGGTCCTGCTGGCCAGGCGGGTCGGCGGAGCCCAGCAGATCGAGCAGCCCAGTGCTGTGTGCCTCGCGTGGGCGGGGCCTCCCTGTGCACCTGCTCCGTGTCCTCATGATCCGGGTCCCCATCCTCACTCCACCTCCTGCTCCTCCACCTCCTCCTCCTCCTCCTCCTCCTCCTCCTCCTCCTCCTCCTTCTCCTGCTCCTGCTCCTCCTCCTCCTGCTCTTCGTCCCCGTTCTCCGTCCCCTTTCTGCTTTGCCCCCTCCTCTGTCCAGCTCATCTCCGCGATGCCTGCAATCCTCCTCCTGATCATCCTCCACTCCTCCTCCTCCTCCTCCTCCTCCTGCTCCTCCTCCTACTCCGGCTCCTGCTCCTTCTTCTTCTAGCCCCCCTTCCGGTCCTCATACTATGTCTATTCCCAATGCTCCCATGTCATCATGCTCCTCCGTCTCCTCCTGATCATCTTCCTTCTCCCCTGGATGAACACGGGCGACGTCTCGGATCAAGGTGATGCGTCAAAAAACGACAACTTCTGTGGAGTAAGTTTAAGTCGTGCCACCGTGCCTCCTCGAAAGTGTTTATCGACGCTCAGGGATAGACTAGAGAGGGTGCACTTCCTTCGGGTGTCTGCGTAGGCGGGGACGCGGAGTGATACTGCCTTGTGAAGGTCGCATGTGTGCAACAGCTTTTTCGAACAGTTTCTGAAACATGGGCAACTGGCGCCGCAGAGCCGTTCCTCCTCACTTTCCTCCACGTTCTCCTCCTCCTCCTCCTCAACCTCATCGTCTCCTGTGAAGCCGCACGCCCGCCAAGGCCTGGCAGATGGTCACTGCATGTCAGCATGTACGTGGCCCATTTGGCAGTGTCTGGCGCGCTGCTCTTCAGACGTGTGCTCGGTGCGTTCGTGGAGAGGCCTCCAGCTCGGCTTTTGCGAACGCTGCCAAGAACATCGTCTGACGACGTCTCTTTCGGAGGCCTTTATTGATTACCTCGGCCATGCTTGGCTTCGACTCACGAGTGCCTTATGCGAAAAGTCTCCTCGAAACGAAGCTGATCAAATACCGCGTCCTCTCAAAGAGTCTCAATCATGAGGAACTAGATGACCCTGAGGTGGAAAGTACCACAATGCCGAGCTGTATTCTGAGGAGCATTGCCTTTGAAGAATGTGTCGTAATGATACAAGGGCACGACATGCGCTACATCATAAAGCCGATCGCATCAATCACGCAAGGCGGTTGCACATGCTCCGAACATCGGCCATCATGCCGTAGGCGCAAAGTAGAATATCCTCAGATCGCTTCGAACTCTCTTTCTTGCTTGTTGGAACACTTCTGAAGAGCCAAGATCCCAGCTGTTAGATCTCCTGGAGCGTCCTTACGTGATGTTTCGGTGGCTCGCCTGGCTTTTCCCGAGGCCAAAAATCATTTAACAACAAATTGTTCACAATGGTTTCGGCCCCAGGGGTGGGAAACCCGAATCGGCCCCACGATCCCTCGCGTGTCAAGCCCAGGGGGCCCCCGAGAGAACCCAAGATGCCTCACGAGGCCCTCGAGAGGCATCCCACGAGACCCCCCGATGCATCCATGAGTATGACTCTGACCCACAACCCAGGTACGGTGGTGGGATGGACCGAAGGCCACTACAGTCAACCCCCAGATACGGTGGTGGGATGGGCCGGACGCACGATAAGGATCCCAGGGCCTTTGGAGGCCATGTCGACACTTTTCGAGGGGGGTGCGGCCAACGAAAGTGACCAAGGATGTATCGAGGAGGCAAGGATGCACGAGTACCCATACTATGCGGGTTGACTGGATCCACCGCCCCCGCAGCCTGCGGACGAGTGTCGGCGAGCCAGGTTTCGCAGCTCCTTCTAGCCCTCCCAAGAGGTTCCCAGCGGCCTCTGGCCCAAGCCCCCCGCCCTGCAGCAAATATGGTTTCCGTCGGATTTCCCGCCTAAAATGACCTCCAAGATGATCCCAAGATGTCCCCAAGATAGGGAAGATGGCCCCAAGATGCCTCCAGACTGGCCAAAGATAGTCAACAAGATGGGACAAGATGGCCCAAGGACAACCCAAGAGGGCTCCAAGAGGAGCTCCAAAGGGCCAGCGTTCGTCCACCTAGGCGCTCCTTGTGGTGGGCGGCGCTGGTTCGCCGGAGGCGTTTTTGACAGTTCGCTTGCCAAACAGGCCCAGGCGTCGGCCTGGACCTTCTCTGCCGAGCGCCCGCATTTGCCAGACGTCGGCTCGAGAGCCCTGGGAGGAGCTGCAGTTCGCACCAGCCTGGAGGGGGCCTCGGCCCCAGTCACTCCGAAGACGGGGAGAACCGTGAACGGGCAGGGAGGGCCCGACTCGGCGCCAAGCTGGATTGGAAATGCTGGGGTGCTGCCTTGGCGCTGCCGCGCTCGGCCTCTCTGCGGGGCTGGTCGTGACGGGGAGGGGCAGTGGGCGGGCCTTCGGGGCCCCTGCGTCAACCGCTGGGAGCGTTCCGTGGCTCTGGTGGCGGGAGGGGCAACTCTCGACTCCGACGGCGATGAGGACCCTTCGTCGGAACCCCAGGCGGCAGCGACGTCGCACGCGGGCAATGAGTGCGGCCTCCATCGTCTGACTGACTGTCCGCCCCTCGCCGGCCAGTCCCAGGGCTTTCCTTCCCCAGCCTCGCGACCCAGACCCCCATCGGCGTTGCATGCAGCAGCTGTGGGGATATTGCCACCGCGCCGGTGTGGCAAAAGCCAGCCGGTGTGGCAAAGGCAACCACGGAAGGCAAAACGAACATATGCTCGAATAGGCAAGCGCACAGCAACAAGCAGGGCAACGGTAGTCCGAGCTGGGCGCCAAGACGAGCAGCGCCAGGAGGCCCACGGTGGCGGCCACGTTGCCGAGCTTCGGGCCCAGCGCACCTTGCCAGCAGGGGCTCGAGGAGAAGGAGGCGCGGGCCCGCGGGCCTGCGCAGGCTCGCGCACGCGCCGGAGAGCGCGAACGAATGGGAATCCTGTTCCCTGTCGTTTTTGTCCTCCTCTCCCTCCCCCTCCTCCTCGATCCTGTCCTGCTAAATCGCTCCTCCCTGTCGCGCCCCGAAGCGCGCGGGCAGGGCGGGCCGGGCGCACCGCCCGAGTCTCTCCCGCCGCTCCTGGCCCTCACGGTTCCAATCTGCAACACTCTCACGGATGGAAGGCGGGCCGTCTTCCAAATGTGGCTCTCGCCCTGGCGCCGCAGACGCTCGCCAAAAGGATGCGATTTCCGCCGAAAGCGGGGTGTAATGATGATGATGATGATGATGATGATGATGATGATGATGATGATGATGATGATGATGATGATGATGATGATGATGATGATGATGATGATGATGATGATAACGCATCGGTCTCATCGCTCATGACAAGTATGTCAGACATGCTTCTCAAGACTCAAAAGTCCGTTAAGCCGCGCATGAATGAAGCAGAGCCTCAAGGGTTCCCAGCAGAGCGACTTGGGTCATCGTCAGAACTACGACAGCCACAACCAGAATTCCGAGGGCAACCTGGAAAGCTACGAGGGCCACCAGCGCTGCTACGACGGATCACAAGAAGAGCTACAAGTGCCATACGCAAAGCTCTGAGGACCAGAAGCAAAGCTGCGAGGGCCACAAACAGAACTACTCGAACCACGCCCAGAGCTACGAGCGCAACGAGCAGAGCTATGAGGGCCGCCAGCAGAGCCACACGGGCAACCAGAAGGACCACCAGCAGAACAACCTGAACCACCCGCAGAGCTACGACAGCCACGAGCAGAATTTCGAGGGCAGCATGCGAGAGGGGGGCGCGACCGGCCAACCTGAGGTTGGACGTTTACGAGAACCTGAGAGGATAGCTGCTACTTGCCACACCTGGGGTCGCCGTTGGATCCCAGACCGTGGGTCCTCTGCCTCCTTCTGCAAGCACTGTTTGGAGGAGTGCCCTCAGGGTCCCCGGGGAGCGGGATCCTTCAAGCTCTGGGCCCCGCGACGGGGCCCAACCAAACTTGCAACCAAACTATTTCCCAACACGGCCAGACCTAGCACTCCTAGTCATATTCTGCCCCTCCTCTTCCTCGCAGGTCTGAGCGTGCGGTGCTGGTCTCCCTCCCTCTGCCCCCTGGGAGGTAACCGCGAGGACGACGCTTCTCGGCATCGTTGGGCTACACAGCGGGCGGCTGAGCTGCAGGCGTGTGGTGACTGGGTACGCCGTCCGAGGGCGCTCGTCCGCCAGTCAGGAATAGGAGGGGAGGGCAGTGGAGGAGGAGAATGTCCTCCTCCTCCTCCTCCTCCTCCTCCTCCTCCTCCTCCTCCTCCTCCTCCTCCTCCTCCTCCTCCTCCTCCATATACTCTCCTCTCTCGGGGGAGGCGATAAGGCATCAATATCGCTGGTCCCCGGGCATTTCCTGCATGGGTGCATTATGACAAGAATGTCAAGGAGAATCCAGCCGTGGCGACGAAGGCTCCTCTCCAGGACAAGCAACGGGATCGGAACATCTTTCCTTCTCTGTCCTCCCCCTCCTCCTCGATACCCTCCTCCTCCTCGATACCATCCTCCTCGGCATCCTCCTCCTCATCCTCCTCATCCTCATCCTCTTCCTCCTCCTCCTCCTCGATGTCCTCGATGTCATCCTCGATATCCTCCTCCTTCCTCTGCTTCCTCCTCCTCCTCCGCCTCCTCCTCCTCCTCCTCCTCCTTCTCCTCCTCCTCCTCTCCCCGCCTCCTCCTCGCCCCTCTTCATCCTCCTCCTCCGCCTCCGCCTCCGCCTCCTCCTCCTCCTCCTCAACCCTCCTCCTCCTCGGCCTCCTCCTCCTCATCTTTCTCCTCCTCCGCCTTCGTTTCCTCCTCCGCCTCCTCCTCGGCATCCTCCTCCTCCTCTTTTCCCTCCTCCTCCTCCTCCACCCTCCTCCTCCTCCTCCTCATCATCGACATCCACTTCCTCATCCTTCTCATCACTCCCCCTCCTCCTCCTCCTCCTCCTCATCCTCCTCCTCCTCCTCCTTCCTTCCGACCGCTTCACGCGCGCCCTCGGGTCGGGCGGCGCGGCCGGCCGGGCCCCGCGGCGCGGCCCTCAAACATCGTGGGCTATGCCCACGGACCCCCCCTCCCTCGGGGCCGGGGGCCAGTCGGCTAGCGCCCGACGCCTGAGCGGGGGGCGCCCCACCTTGGGCCCCCCAGGGAGGGGTTGCCCGACGGCCCCCCCAGGTCATGGCGGAGTGCCGCGCGGGCAGGACCCCCGGCAGCCCCGCCGGGGGAGGCTGGGTTGCTGCCGGTGGGTACTCGGCCCGGTGCGGAAGGGCGGCGATTGGACCGTTTCCAGATGGGCCAACGAACCGCAACGGGGGCGGGGGCCGGACGAACAAGGAACGGGGGAAGCGCAGGGCCAGGGGGCAGCGGGAGGGGGGAGCAGGGGGGGGAGGCGAAGGCGAGGGAGAGGAGGGAGGGGAGGGGAGGGCGCACCCAAGGGAGGGCCGGGGGGCGACAGGGCCGAGGGGCGACGGGCCGGGGAGGCCCCAAAAGGGGGACCCAGGGCCCAGGGCGCAGGGGCCAGAACGGGGCCCAGGGGGTTCCTCGGGCCCGCGCCCTTCCGCTCCGGCTTAGTTCCTCGCGCTGCCGATCTGCGCCACGGCCTGCGCGACCACGGCGCACCGCAGCGGAGCGGCGCCCAGGGGGCCACGGCCAGCGTCGCCTGCCCGCTCAGACGCCCCGGGGCCGCCGGGGAGCCGCCGTCTCGAGGAGGTGCGCCTCCCTGGCCGTAAGGCCCGCCGCCGCGGCCGGTGTCTGGGGCTGGGGTTGGCGCCCGAGCGTCACTGCGGCTCGGCTGCAGAACCCCAAGAGGTGGGTCGTCGTCTCCTGGGATTGGCCGCAGAACCGGCAGGGCGGCACCGTCCCCGCGGCGTCCCGCACGAGCGCGCCCTGGAGGCACAGGCGCGCCCACGCGCGGACTTCAGGGAGCGAGGCGCCAGCCGCACTATGCTGGAGCGCCGTGGGGCCCGCTCCCGCCGCGCGCGCCAGCGCGTCCCGCTGGGCAGGGTCCGCGCGCCAAGAGTGCTCCTGCGCGTGCGCCGCCGCTCGGACCTGGCGGCGGTACTGCGCGCGGGCCCCGACCCCCGCTTGGGGCCCGGGCGGGTCCGGGAGGTGCCACCGGACAAGCAGCTGCCGGACGTGCTGCACCCAGGAGCCCGCGGCCTGCTCCGCGAGCGCGAGGACCTCCCGGGCCTCCACGTACCTGGGGTCCGCGAGCACTCGGCCGTACAGGCGGATCGCGCGCTCCTCCATCATCGTGGACCATCGGAGCGCCCATCCCATATGGTGGAGAATGAGGACGCGCGGGATGGGCCCGCGAACACCCAGAGCATCTCGGCCCCACCGCTCTTGGAGGCGGTTTAGGGTCGTCGCGAACCCCTCCGCGTGGGCGCACAGCTCGGCTCCATGCGCCACCTTCGGGAGCGTGCTGGCAGTCAGGCCTAGGCTCAGCTCGTGGAGCGCGAAGCCGAGGTTCTCCATGATCATGGTGTGCTTTCGCCCGACTCCGAGCGCCTGCCGCTCGATTGCCCGGAGGTGCGCCTGCCCGGGTGGCGCGGCCGATCGCTGGACGCCGAGGCACCTGTACTCGTCCACGAACCCGACCCCGTGAATGGGCCGCGTGTCTGGTAGCCCCCTGGCGAGGATGGCCGTCTTCGTCGGCCCGTACCGGAGGTGGCCTCGGTGGCGCCGCGCGGCGCTCTGGAGCGCCTGGACAATGAGGCCACACTGCGCCCTCGACCCGGCCTTGGCTCGGACATCGTCCACGAATGCCCGCGGCCCGATCCGCTTCTGGGAGAAATGATCGAGGAGGCCCAGCCGGACCGCGTCTGTGGACGCGCCCGCCATGCAGGCGTCCCAGTCTGCGTGCCCGTCCGTGATGAGGGCTGCCCACTGGTCGATCTCCTGGACGTCCAAGGTCTCTGCGTCCGCGCCGTCGCGGTGCACCCGGTATGCCGCCAGCGCCGCCGGTGGCGGGTCCAGGCCTAGGCCCACGCCGGGCGTGGCCGCGACCTCCTCAATCTTGGCCGCGTTGGCGAGGCTGTACTGGGCCGGGCTTAGCGCTCTGCCTTCGGGCATGCCGACCTGCGGCCTGAACGGCCGCGTTCGCTCACCTCGCCCCGTGACCGAGACGGTAGTGCCTCGGAGCATCGCCTCGGCTATGAGCCACTGTCTCCCGGCCACTCCCGCCCGGTCGTGCATGGCTACCATGGCCTCCGTGCGGTCCTGGCTGTCGAAGGCCTCCGCTTCGTCTGCGAACACTTCCGCGATCGGCCTCCCCTGGTGGACACAGATGGCGGAGACCTCCAGGTCCAGGAGGCTGGAGACCAGGCTGTCGCCCCCCGCTTCTTGGAGTTCGCCGAGCCCCCGCTCCATCGCCTGGCGGTTGCGCCCGGCCCACAGCTCCTCCAGGAGGCGGCCCTCCGCGGAACACAGCGCGAGGACCCTATAGCCGCTATAGTCCACGTGGGGCCGGCCCTCCTTGCGCTTGTGGTAGTTGTCCTGTAGGAGCCAGAGGGCGGGGACCTGGCCCAGGCGGAAACTGAGGCTGGACAGGCCCAGCAGTGCCTGCACGGCGCCCAGGTGCGCACTGTGGAGGAGGGCGTAGGGCAAGCCGCGGCACTGGGCCCCGACCCGGATCCTCCGTAGGGCGGCGCCGGCGTCAGCGAGCGTGAAAGCCTCTGCCACCTCCCAGTGACCCAGGGCGCGGAGGGCCTCCGAGCGCTGGCGTTCCAGGCGGCCTCGCATCGCGGCCGCGTGGTCGGCGTCCCACTCCTGGCCCCACGGGGGGTTGTCGCGCCTAAGAATGTATCTGCGGGCCCCGTCCAAGACCTGCGGCGTCCCGATGCACATGCGGCTCTCGTCCTCCGGGTCCCGCA